GTATTTTACCGCCTGCGCAGAACACGTTGCGCAATGTATGCGCGTGTGTAAGAACGAGTTGACGTACAAAGACAACTGTGCTGTCATCTAGGATGTTTTTAATAATACTAGTAATATTATTTATCGATAAGGTTATGCCATAGTATCATTTTTATAATTATCAAAAGTATTACTTGGATGTTACAGTACTTATTTAATTTTACAATTAAATTCATTGAAAATAAAACAAGTTGAAATAAAATTGTTAATATTAAAAAAAATAAAATAAAATAAAAGCATGAGTGTGGATRATAGTTTGATAGATATCGAGAAGATTATGAAAACTGAAGATGAAGAATTTACACCTGGAGGCGGGTAAATAATTTGATTTTTATTTGAAACCTAACCTATACTAAATATATATGTATATAATTTGACAATGATGTCAAATGATGTCAAATATTTATCCCCACTCTTTCTTTTTTTTTTTTTAGATCTAATTTAGCTGCTATTTTTGGAAATTTTCATGCGGAAGATCAAGACAAACCTTGTGTAACAAAACAAACAACTCAGAAAAAGTCTAACAGTAAACGTAATAAAAATTTAACACCATTATCCACTAAAACAGAAGTAATAATAGCTAAAGCAATTCACGCATACAAATTGTAAGTATAAATGTAATCATCTATTTGAATTTTATTTTAATGCGATGTTTATTATATATTTGTTATGATTAATTAATTAATTAATTATTTATTTATTTTCTATAGACAAAATGGACAATATATTTCTGCTGGTACACTTGGAATAGCATTAACAGGAAACATTTCTACAAGGACATATCAAATAATTCTATATAAAACTAAATACGAATATGTTTCTGTAGTTAATGTGAAAAGTGACTTTACATATACCGTACAAGCAAATAATTATTCTACGTATTACGATGACAATAATGAAAATTGGTCGATATTATTTGATAAAGAAGAAGCTTCGATAAAATTTGCTAGAGAATTAGCCATTGCTAAATATTTTTCAAAAGAGGATAAAATAGAGAACGTAATTTATCAAAATTTAACACCAGTTAATAAAGACGAAGTTATAACTAAGGAAGGATCCAGAGTAACACTGAAGTATTTTATTACTACAGATATTGTACACTTGTTTGATGTGAATTATGAATTGTTTCAAACAATGACGGTTAATATATCAATGGATGATAGTTGGGAACGATCTCTACTAGGAATCAGTAAAGAATTAAAAAGGATTTTATTTATACCTTCTAGTAAACAGGTATTTTATAAACTGATCAATGAAAAAACAAAAAAAAAATCAATCTAATATTTCAAGAGCTTGTAGTATTCAACAAAATGAGTTTACAACATTAATAATTTAATATAAATTCATTTTTATGAATTTATCAGCATATTTGATAATTAATCTTTTAATCTTTCTTAATATTAATCATAGTTTCTGTTTATCTTCATAGTAAACTTATCTTAACAACCTTGAATATATTTCTAAATAAATTCTTTTGTATACACATACGATATTTTAATTTTAAATAATGAACGTTAATTTATAATCAAAGGATTCATTTTATGATAGAAATTTTAGATTTGTATCGGTGAATACAATGAGTTCTTAAAATATCAGATGTTTTATTAAAACTTAAAGCACAATAATAATTAGTTTTATCTGTAGATTAGCTTAGGTCCAGGTTTTCCAAAAGATAAAGATGTATTGATGGAAATAGAGGTAACAGATATACAAGAATTAGAAGAACAATTTTCTTTAACTAAACCTATAGTTTCTGGTAAGGCCTTGTTATTGTCAAGAATGGCTAAAATGGGTCAATCAATTCTTCCAAAAATGCAAACATCAACAACTACAGATTCTGAGGATACTGAGGTACTTACTAATAATAGATCTGATATATTTTACAATTGGTTTAATTAAAAATGAAAACATATATATATATATATATATATGAATATATTTATAGGATGATTTTCCACCAAAAAAACCATGTCATAAAAAGGTATCGAAGTCATATGACAAATAAGATTAATATTGTACGAAGTACTTGTCAGATGATCGAAGCTGAAGAGAAAATGTTCATTTTCAGATAGAATCATTAGAAGTACAAAAAAAGCATACGGTGAAAGAAATACCACCTGTTACACATGAAGTGGCTAAATCGAAACATAATGTGCCTTCTGCGAATCCCATTGTACCTAAACCATTAATTCCTGCTACTACATTCACATCTTCGTGGTCTAATCCACAATTACAAGTAAATTTCATTTTTAATGATATATATCCTTCTTTTTTTCTTGATAATTATTGTTATCTGACATTTGTAATATTTCAGTCAAATTATTTAACAACGAATGGTCAAATGTATGCCTTGCAACCACAAGCACTAACACAAGCAGTACCTACTGTTATTGATCCAAATTTGAATATGCTTTTGTCAGAAACTAGAATAGCAAATGCTGAACTCAGAATGGGAATGTCTAAAGTAGCTGATAATGTACAAAAAGTACTCGATAAGGTTATTATAAAATATTATTATCTTGATAGTATAATTATAGTTATACAAATGTTATTAAATTATATATCTTTTAGTTTCACAATTTAGAATTGCAAAATGCATCTTCAACGAAAGATACGAAGATGGAAGATACTTTGAAATTATTATTAACTATGAATCCATTGCAAAGCAATGAATTACTAAAAACAACAGATGTTCAAAAAGATGATTGTTATAAAGGTGAACAATTATCTGAGTTATCGAAATTAAAGAAAGAATTGTTTGAAGTAGAAAATGAAGTAAGAAATTTAAAAGGTAATTATTATTTATTTGATGATTTTTATTGATTCATTTATTTATTTATTTATTTATTACAAAATAAAAATAAACTTAAAAAATTGTTTTTACAGAATCGTTAACAAAAAGTACAGAATTAGCTAAGATGTTTGAAGAAGAGAAAGTATCTTTGTCTTTCATTAATAAAGAATTAGACAATAAAATTAATACATTAGATGTATTATTGAATAAGAAAAATGATGAATTAAATAGTAAACAAATAGAATTAGAAAAATATAAAGAATCTCAAAAAGAATATGAAAAAGAGAATGCAGAATTAAAAAAGAAAGTTTCAGAGCTTAATGCAAAGTTAGATTCTGCTATGATAGAAACTAATGCGGTATCTTCCAAAAATATTGATGTAAATTTTTGTCAATTTTATTATTATTATTATTATTATTATTATTATTATTATTATTATTTGATTAGAATTTATTTATATTCATAAACAAATAATTCATAATATTGTTTGATTTAAATTTATTCGTAGATAGAAAATAGAAATAAGGAAATAAAATATATTATAAACAAGACGTATCATATTTTGAGGGCAACATTTACAGATGATTCGTACAGCACGGAACATATAAAAAAAATTATATTTAATACAATGAAGGTATGGACATTTTGTGTTCTAATAAAACAAAATTAAGTGTACGATGTTAAAATGTGTTATTAAAAAAAATCTAATTCATTTTTTTTTAGAACATTACATTACAAATATTACAAGAAGAAAAGAATTTAGAAACTGAATCTGAATCAGAAAGAGATACAAAAAATACATTGAAAAATAATCAAGATAATAATGAACGATCAAATAAATTTTCAAACAATCCAAATTCAGTAAGAGATTAATTAATTTGACAAATGTATCATCAAAATAAATGTTTTTTTTTTGATTGATTGAAAATTGTTACACATCGAAGAAAAATAATATTTGTTTTTTTTTTTAGGTTTTACCAGTAGAAGAAAATGTACCACCGCCTATTCCACCAATGGACAATGAATTAGACAATGGTATTTATTAATGTGATAATAATATTCTTATTAATTAATGACGAGATGGATTTCTTCCATAGAAAATGAATAATATTTTCTTTTTTTTTTTTACAATTTATTTTCACATTTTTAATCTATAAGATATTTAAAACAAATGTTGTTAAATATAATTATGTTACCTTTTTTTTTTTTTCATACAATTATTATCTGTTTGTTTGTTTCTTTTTATTTTTTTATTTTTATTTGTTTCTATTATAATAATATATATATATTTATAAAATAAAGTATAACAATTGATATATAACATTTGCAAATAATTGTAATATATAAAAAAAAAAAAAAAAAGAAATTTTTTAATAAATAATCAAATCTCTGATAATAATACATTTATAATATAAAATTAATTTTTTTTGTTGTTGTTGTTGAAAATATTTCATTGTAATAAAATGATGATAAGCTTTTTAAAATACACACTGTAATATAAGAAACAACTATGCATACATGACCAGTGTGTATAAAGATGCGCTGTCGAAGGTCGTTGTATATCTGTAGATGAAAAATGGCGCTAAAGGATGGTACGTGTTATTATTGATAGAAACAGTATCGTTAATATATTGACGTTTGAAAAGTAATTAATTAAAACACGTGTTAAAAGTATTGTTCTATTGTGCATTATCAGAAATACTTTATTTATTAAATGTTAAAAACCGTTCATTTAGTGTTTTTTTCTTCGGACGGTTCTTAAGAATTTCTAATTGTCTGAATTCACGGTTAGATTGGTGGTGTGGCTTCTACCACGTCAATGATATTTATACCTAACCTCAAAAATGATTAAAGAGAAAACAACATCTTTTTCTTATTTCATTATTTTATAAATATAATAATCATATTTACGATCTAATGACAAATTTTTCATTGACATTAAAACACAAATTATAACCTCACTTTATAAAAACAAAACAAAATGATTATTTAAGTTTCTGTTTTCTTCCTTATGTTTATGATAAGAAAATAACTAACATTGACATTTATTTATGATATATATATATATATGAATTATATAAATGTCAAAAGAGAAATTTCATTTAATTATCATTTTGCATTATTTAGGAATATAGGTTTGGAAAGATGATGATGATGATGCTGATGATGATGATAATGGGATCAAATATAATTAATTATTGTTAATTCTAAGTCAATGGAAAAATAATAAGAATCATGTTCTGTATCACTTAGATTAATTAGTTGGGGATTTTGTTATGATGGATGCAAGTTCTGTCGAGGATAAAGATGTATCTTTTAGTTTGGGGGAGATGTTTGATAGTTATGAAGAATTGGAAAATAAATTGGAGAAATTCTCTAAACGCAGTCTTGTACATTATTGGAGAAGAGATAGTAGAACTGTCAGTGGTGCACATATGAAAACAGCTAGACCTATTAGTGAACGTTTAAAATATTATTCAGTCAAATACGCGTGTATCTATGGTGGTCAAAAGTTTCTTCCACGTGGTGCTGGCAGAAGACAATCTCAGTTAGTTTGTAAATACTATTTTCTTTAGTAGAATAATATGTTTGTCATTTTTTCTTTTTTTTTATACAAAGATATTTATATAAATAAATATATTTATATAGCCATATATATATACAAATTAATAATATGATTTTATTTTTGTATTTAGATCAATTAGAACTAATTGTCCAGCACACATTATGCTTAGAGCGTCAAAAGATGGGACTAAGCTGGAAGTAACTAGTGTCAATAATGAACATAATCACGAAATTTCTGAAGTAAATAAACATTATTCTGTTAGATACAAAAAAAAACAACAAATAAATGAGAATATAATAATTTTTGTATTTTGTAGGAATTGTTTAAGAATTTGCCACAAGAGAGAAAGCTTTGTGGTGAGATCAAACAAGATGTACAAGATCTTATGCGATTGCACATAGATCGTAAAAGATTGAAAGAGTATGTCCGTTTGTGTACCAATAAAATATTACGTTCTAAGGATTTATTTAACATAGCTGCTGCTAATAAACAAAAGAAAGAAATAACTCCCGAAAGAGCCTATCAGTTGTTTAAAAAGATACACGATATTGAAAAGCTGCAACGTACCAAAATGGAAAGGAAATTGTGTTCGGAATCTGAAGATGAGATTGCATTGACGATCAAAAAAATAAAGAAAGAACAAGAGTCACCGTGGGGTCAAGATGTAAGATTATTTTGTCCGAATGAGATTAAAAATTCATCTCTCATACTTAGAATTTAAAATAAAGAATTCTTTTTTTCAGGGACTGTCGCCTGAGTTAGAGGTAAGCGAAGGAAACGATGGTGATGATTCGTATGGTGGTCAATTGACTCAAGAAGAAGTGGTAGATGAAATAGATCCAACGGATAATAAATTGTTGGCAACAAGTAATGAGGGAGATATAATAGAAACTAATAGAGAAATAGTAGGAGAATTAGTAATGGAAGATGGTGATCCATCAGTAATAGTTGAGTCTATCGTTAATGTGGATGGTTCAGTTTTTGTCGATGAACGTGATTTCAATACTTATTGTAGTAATCATTTATCACATACAGTTGACGATAATCAGTCTCCTAGTTCTCAAGGTATGCTTTTAATAATATAAGTTTACACATTTTGAAAAATATCATCGTTGTGTTGTATATGTAAAATTAAGAATTAAAAACAGTTTTAGGTATAGATTCTATAACGTCACCAAACAATATAGGGACAATATCAAAAGACTCTACATCACCTAGTCATAAAATACAGAATACATCAACAACACCACCACCACCACCCCATTCAACGTCAAAATCACCCGATGATTTTAACGAAAGCGCAGATTCTAGAATTTGGATTATGAAGGAGGCAACTTCTGTAGAAGCAGAAATTGATAGTAGTCATGAAAGTGAAACTAATGTATCAAAATGTGCTACTGTTATGAAAGGAGATATTGGTAACACTGATGTTGTATTAACTAATGCAGCGGATCATCATTTGTTGCATGAACAATTAGCTGTTCTTAGAGCGGAAAGGGAAAAGTTACGTCATGAGACTGATATGTTAAAGCTTAAGAAAGATAAATTAAAATTACAAATAAGTTGTTATGCAAGTGAGCTTAAGAAACAGGAAATGGAGAAGGAAAAATTGAGATTAGAAATTAAATTATTACAATCTAAAGCAATGGAAGATAATGATGTGTCTCATTATATTTTTGTGCCTTGACCATTCAAAACAAAAACAAAAAAAAAACAAACGAAAACTAGCTTTGTAAGATCTTATTAATTAGGATATAAAATATAAGAGATATTAGAACAGCGCACAACAGGTTAACGTAGTAAGGAGAGATTACAATATCTTATTTAATAATGGAAAAGAAAATTCTCCAAAATATATATTTTCAAAATGAATAAAATTCTTTAAACGTATACTTTATTTTATTTTTTTTTTTTATAGACAAAGTGTTTTATTTAAATATGTCTTTTTGTCTTTTGGTTTTTTTCTTTTTTTCTTTAATCGTTACACGTTATCAAAGATATTGATGTTACATAAGAAGATGTATTACACAACGTTAAAAAAACAATGTATAAATTTTAAATATTAATCTTTCTGTAAAATAATATGTGGATATATGATATAGAAGTTTAAGTATTGATTATTGCAGTTTATAATTATTATCATTTTAATTTTAAGATAAGAAAACAATAGCATTTAATAAATTATTTTGAAATTAAAAGTGGATCGATCATACATACTACTGTACCTTTTTTTTTTGTTTTTTTTTTTTCTCTCTTTCTGTTTTAAAAGTGAATTTTATTCAATAAAACAGAATTAATCAGATAAACGTTGATCATGAAAATGATATTAACCGTAACCATTACTAATAATATTACATTCCTACCTCTTCTTCAAGGTTCTTTACTTGGACTACCATATTTTTAATATCCTTAGTCCTATTAACAAATGAAAATGAATAATTAAAAATATTATTTATAATTTGATTATAAACAATGAATTTTGTACTTACATTTTAGATAAATTTTCTCGAATAGCTTCAACTTGATTTTTACTAAATATTATTTCCTTTTGTTTTTCAATAATCTCAGTATTTTCCATTAACACAGATTGTTGATTTGCTTTCTTTTTTAATTGTTTCAATCTAACACGCAAATCTTGAATTTTATCATTCATCCTTTTCAATTCTTCAGCTTCAGCTCTTTCACTAGGACTCATTGAAGGTTCCTTGTAATTTACCAATCTTAGTACTTCCTCCGCTCTGTAGTAGAATTATTTTGTATTTTTGTTGTTGTTGAGATTTGCAGAGTGATCAGTGTTATTAAATAATTAATAATTTACCTGCGTGCTAATTCTTCTTGTTTGTCTTTGATATCTTCGTAACGTTCAGCCAAACGTTCGGCAGTTTGTTGAAGTTCTTTTTTAGTTTCCATCAAAGTATCGGTTTCTTTTAATAAATGTGTTTTCAATGCTTTCAATGCTCGTATCTTTTTATTTATTTCTTCACGAGCTTTGTCTTGTCGTACGAAATGTTGACGACGAAATATTTGAGTAACGTGGAACAAAAGCTTAACAACAAAAAGAGATACAAAATTATATTCAATATATTTATAATAAAAAAGAAAAATATTAGAAATGTAATTAAGAAAAACAAACAAAATAAAACAAATGTCTTACTTCTACGCATTCCTTTAAAGTCATCGATTGTTTTCCAAGTTTCGTAATTGGTTGCGACGTATCATTTTTAAATAAATTTTTAATGTACATATCAAACGATTCTTTGTTCACCTTTAACAAATTCAATTGTAAGTAATTGTTGTAATTTAAATGTCACTTAATTTGAAGAAGAAAAAAGAGAAACGAAAAATTCCGAAAGATAATATCATTGAATTTACCTTCTGTGCTGAAGTTACAACAGGTTCAGATAGTTCAACACGTGGAAGGTAATGTGGATCAATCACGGAAAGATCAACGACATCACCGGTATGAAGTAAAGCGATTAGAACACACGGTTCTTGAATTAAACCAAATCCTAAAATTGGTGTGGGCTCGTCGATTTCCGTATGTTTGGTTCTTGTACAAATTAAATAATGCGAACTCGATTCATTTGATAATGAAGGTAAAAAACTATCTTCTATTTTTTCTAAAAATAACAAATATTTAACAAGCAAATGATACATTTGTTTATTAAAAAGAATTTTTATTAAAATATGATAAAACAATGTTTTTTACCATTCATATTATTGATATAATTATCTAACTGTGATACCATTGGTAGACTAACCATATGTATTCCAGCATTGTGAGAACAAAAGTATCTGGTGAATCAACAAATGTTAATTTAGAATTAGAATAAATCAATCAAACGCGTATATTTAATTAAAAAAATATTAAACAAATGAAATTACCTGGATTTGTTACCCTTATCGTTATGCACGTATATTGGACAATTGTACTTTTTGTCATCGTCAGTAAAAAATAGTCCTAGTTCCATTTCGATGCATTCAAAGATATAAAGTGCATCGTCGGGTGTATGTAAACTGTATGAAGAACCGTACTGCGACCAAGTCTACAAATTGTAATATACATTTTATAGATACTCAAAAAAAAAAAAAAAAAAGAAAGCAAATCAAAGAAAATGCAATGCAATGGAACCTTTTTATCATCCACGTTTTCATCCGGTGTTTCTTTCAATAATATAGCATGATATATTTTTCCATTACACATTGCAATTACAACTATCGGTGGAGTAGTTTGTATGCACATTATGGAACACGAATCTATTCCATAATTATCATCAGTTTCAGGATACATGGATAACGAACCATAAACTACAGGCTTGTCAGAACTAAACAAAAAAAAAATATAAATTCATTTATATTATAAAATTAAAATAATATTTAATTAATATTTGTTTATTTATAAACGTACTTATCATAAAGAACATTTTCTCGTACGATAAGAACTTCTCCATTTCCACGAAGCACAAGTATGGGCCATTCAATTTGATTCCAATCGACGGAATTTTTAGCCTGTAAAAATAATTGAAAGACAATTGATTTAAACAAATAATTCTTTAAGTAAAATTAGTGTTATAATTATTACAAAAAAAAAAAACAAAAAGATATGTGTATGTATTTATAATTTTACTTCATTTATATCTTGACCAGCAAAAAGTTCAGGTTTTCTTAAAGTTGGGGTAGCAAAGTCAAAATCTACAGCCGTATCACCGAGTGATGCAAAATTTGGTACTTTAGATCGCGTGCTAGTCATTGGAGTACGTCCTACTTTCCAACTTTTGACAAGTTTCGGTGTACCATTGATTTCACATTCGTATAAACTAAAAGATAAGTGTATAAAAAATTGAATTGCAATTAATGAAACCTCATTACATCATACAACAATTAATTATTATAAATTATTGTATAGGATATAAACATGTAGAAACTGACCGAAAGATATTCTCAGAAGTAAGAACCAAAAGATGTGAATCATTGGTTGATCCAGGATGCCACCTTGCTTTACGAATTTCAGTAGTTGCACTGAAGTCTCCAAAACAATGACTCCTGCAATTAGGAATAAATGATTTTGTAAACAAATCAAAGAGAGTTAAGATCTCTCTCTCAAAAAAAAAAAAAAAAAAAAAAAAATAAGGAAAAAGTAAAGAAAATCACGTTAGAAGATTGTACACAAAAGTTGGTACTTTTCATGGGACAAATTTTGTTGAGTAGAGTTCTCTGCTTGGTCTGTTGGGTACCTAGCTTACGTTTCATGTATGTATGTATTTTATTATTATTCTCTCGCTTTCCGTGGCTGGACATGGTAGGTAACGGGTTGGCAAGGGGTTGACGATGGTTAGTCCACGCTCGTTATTAATGTTCGTGGCATGGCAGGAAGAGAGATAGGAAGGAAGGAGAAGGAGACTGTGAGAGAAAATGGAAAAAGAGGAGGATGAGAATGAGGATGAGAATTGGGATGGGGATTGGGGAGGAGGAAGAGGAGGAGGGGGGTAGAAATTCGGTGGATATGAGGTGTCACCAACACTACCACGTCACAAACGAACATCAAGGACTCTACCGACGACACCATCACCACTACGACACCCAACGTAACCCATTGTACGCCAGAGTTCTTAATAATTGATAAAAATGTACGCGGCGCACCAGCAGTACGAGAGAGTACGCTGAATATAAAGGGAAAGAGAAAGAGAGAAAGAGAGAGAGAGAGAGAGGGTAAGAGTCGGGTGAAAGCCAGGAACAGAGAAAGAGAGAAAGAGAGAAAGAGAGAGAGAGAGAGAGAGGCGTCAGACCACCCCTTTGCACGACCACCATCACCCAGTCGTTTCGTTGACAAAGGCACATGCAACGATTTATTCGCCCTTTTTACCATGTACTCTCTCTCTCTCTCTCTCTCTCTTTCTATTTCTATTTTTTTACTCAGGCCCTCTCGCAAATTTTTCTTCGTTTTGTCACAATTTCAGATTTTTATTAGAATATATAGATATATTATACAGCAGCAACCCTCGTTTATGGTTACATTGTAAATGATAATATAAACTTATCTTCATAGGAGAATTCAATCTTTGATCAAGGTTTTAAGTTAGGTTGAAAGTTCTATTTGAAAGACAGTTTTCTCTCTTTTCTTTTACATTGTCTCTCTTTCTCTCATTTTCTTTGTTTTAATTGTAATTGTATTGTTTTTACAATCAAAACAAATATTATTAATGTTAAATTGTATTTGGAATATTTTATAGATTTTTATGAACAATTCTAGGTTGAAAGAAAGGAAAAAATGGTAAAAGACAACCCTTGATAATAGCAATAATAATAATAATAATAGAAAAGGGAGAGTTCAGATGGTCGAATCTAATTAAGAAATTCTTACATGGTAATGGGCGGTACATACAAATGGTCAGGGTTTGTTTCTTTCCTCCCCCAATTCCTTTTCTCTTTTCATTTGTATTTTTTTTGGTGTTTTTTTTTGTTGGACGTCTCACCTTCTTAATCTTCATCATCTCTCTTTCTCTTTTCTACTTTGTTTTTTTTTCTTTTTTTTTCTTTTTTAACCTCTGGGTAGGTACATACTCTTCGGCGAAACGGGCGGCCCGGAAAAAATTAAAAATAATTTTCCCTAGGTAAACGTATTAACCTCGGCTAGTGGGCAAGCTTTTTACGCGACGCTTTTCTCGCAATTTGTACAAAGAACCGGCCACAGGCCTCTGACTTCAAAGCGAATCTTATAGAAAGAGAAAGAAAAAAAAGAAATAAAGAGAGAGAAAGAGAGAGAAGAGTATCGCATAATTTTATTTTACGTATTTTTCCCACGTATTTCCCTCACTATGCATTGTACGTCGGTTTATCGTGAAGCTTCCGGTTGCAACCACCCCCTTTTTATTTTCTCGAAGAAGAAAAATTAGAAAAAAAATAGAAAAGATAAAAATGCAGTTTTTTTTTTTTTTTATAAAATATAATAATCCAAAAAATATTTTATCTTCAATCTAAAATTAATTCTTTGCATTCGAGGGGCAGATTTAAGTGGCAACTCGAACGGCGCTGATACGGCGCCCAGTGGCTAATTTGAAGTATTTTGTTAATCTATTTGTTGATTTATGATATGTGATAAGATATTTCTTTTAAGATATATTTAAAGATAATACTTAAAGGATCGAAAAGGGATTGTAAGGTTTACTTTGATTGTGATACACCTGGAGATAGGTGGTAAGTAACATATTATTGTAATACGTGTTTTGATAAACACTTAGGATGCATTTTTTGGGTATTGTTTTATGAAATATTTTACAAAAATTAATTAGAGAGTGTTATAGTTTTTAAATTTTATTGTTTTTAATATAAAAATAATATAAATTGATGAAATTGTATTATTTGTATACATTTGTTTGTTTATAATTGAGTAGTACATGTCAAATGTAAAATGTTTCCCTAATTTAGCCAAAATCGTCTCGAGTTTGAAGTTGAAAAAGGGCTCGAATGCAAAGGGTTAGAATATTATTTTACTTTGTGTTTTTTTTTTTTGATTTACGTCATGAAAAAGAGAGATAGAGATAGAAACGAATAATATAAAATGTTCTTTAGAAATTGTCTAACCAGTGTAATATTATACGAATCGCTAGATAATCGAACTAAATTAAAACGTTTTTATACCATTTAGGGAGAATGAGTAATCGTCATTGTTCCCATGAGAGTGTGAGAGTGTGTGAGAGAGAGAGAGAGAGAGAGAGAGAGAGAGAGAGTAGAGTAGAAAATCAGAGACTACCGGCAAACGAGAGATAAGCGTTCGGGTCTATCTTTTTCTTTCTCTTTCTTTCCCTTTTTTCGTTCTCTTTCGTTCACCTTTTCATCTTTTCTTCCTTGGCAATAAATCTCCGAGAAAAACCTATCCGGGAATCCTACAACCACCACCACCACCACCACCATCAACCACCACCACCATCGTTACTTCTCTGTGCTTAACCTAAAAATTCATTAGATTATAAAGCCATTAATGCTCATCCGCGCGACCGGATTCGGACTCTAAACTCTTCTTTCTTTTTTTTTTTTTTTCATTTCTTTCTTTATTTCTTGTCCTCGTTGATTTCACACTTGGATCAATGCAAAGTTTTACTTTGCTACTTCAGCGATATTATTTTTAAAATACTTGATGATGATTTCTTTTTATTGGGTTTTTGAAAGGAACAATGCAGGACAATGCAGGACAATTTAACCCTCGAAGTCATCACTACGCATGAGTGATAAAATAATTAGTTTAGAATAACAAAAAATGATCAAATCTGAACGTTGTAATATTAAATTCTATTAATTAGATAGATTATACCTGTTATGCAACCCTGATGCAACCCTGACACGTGTTAGAGAAAAATTTCTTAATACATGTATAATACATAAATAATATATACAGTTTATATAATGATCATTTGGATGGATACCTCCTCCATCTGGTAAAAACGTTCGGTGTCCCATTAAATTGTTGATGGTGTGACTGTGTATAGCAAACTACCGTAATATCGTTCAGTAACTTGGAATATTTTTATTAGATTTTTTCTTTCAAAATTACGAGCAACCTAAGAAGAAGGATGAGAGGTGGAAGGTGGTAGGAAGAGGAGTGGTGGTGGTGGTGGTGGTGGGATCGACGAAAGACTTTAAAGACGGTGACGCAAAAGGAAAGAGAAAGAAAGAGGGATGAAAAAGGGGGTGGTGAGAGAAGAGTGGTGGTGTAGTCGTGGGGGCGGGTTTACGAAGCTATGCTCACGATATAACGAGGAGCCATTATGATAAGCGAATGCATAGATTAGACATAACTTGTTAGCCTGCTTATACGCTCGTTATACGATGCTAACGCATACAACGATGAAAATATTAAATATTAGAATCGTTTGTTACCTACAAACAGGAATTTATAAAAAGATATTGCAAGATATTTTGATAATAATCTTATCTGATAGAATTTAACACGTCAGCTATCGGTGGTTGACACTAGACTTTCCGTTTAGGGGTTGATTAAAAACGTTGAACTATTTTTTCAATTCAAAGTAACGCCTGTGACCTGACAGGAATTAGTCTAAGAATTCGCGTGGTGTTCAACGTGTTAAATGAATCCTCCAATGAAAATAATGATCAAATGTTTCGTGATCTGTATAATATATAAACATAGATAATAATATGATTAGGGTATAATTAATGAAGTTTCATGATAGTGATGAGATAATACACAATGTGTATGAGAGAGAGAGATAGATAGATAGAAGGATCTTAGGGAAATGGAAGAGCGTTTCACGAAACCGATGCCCAGGATGGAAACGGGACGCAACGTTGAGAATTAACGGGCTTAGTTGCCGACGCAGGTGTCGTCGGACGAGGAAGAGAAAGGCGAAAGCAAAGTGAGAGCACAGGATGAATTACGAGAAGAGCGTCAGACCAACCAACAGCTAACCAAGTGTGTGTGTGTGTGAGAGAGAGAGAGAGAGAGTTAGCTCGTTGCTCGTTATATTTTGCGCAACATCCCGATTTTATGGGGCCAACCCCTCACCATTCTAACACGGACGCACATCTTCAACAGAAGCCGCGGGGTCGAAACTGGGAGTCGCGAACTTCCATTCTCTCTAACGCCTTCTCTAGTCACGAGAAGACTAGAGAAGGTCTGACTCCTTCTTGAGAACTCGGTAACTATGTTACTTTAGAAATTATTACTGGGTTTCTTCTTTTTTATCATGTAACTTTTTGAACGAGAATTTATTTATAATATTAAATAAATTAATCATAGAATTAGGTTGATCTGTGTTAGAAATATTTTTGTTTAATCATTTAGAATACTTATTGTAAAAAATTATTAATTTAGATTGGTCATTAATCTGTTAACTGGGGAATTACCTTTTTAATTACTTAGGTTTTTTTTATTATTATTATTTATTTATTATTTTTAAAATTTTATATATTTATTTTTATGAATATAATAAAAAAAATATTTGTCCATTTATTTATATACTTATAAATTAGAAATTTTTCAACCTTTAGCTTTTAAAGCAATACGTTTGACGTATTTATACGTTCCA